CCCACACACACACACACACATACACACACACACACACACAAACACACATTCTGGCATGCAGCAATGAAGTTGGCTACTTCGTGCCAGAATCTGAGGAATCACCACCGTTGCGACTTGGAATGGCACGCAGTAGCCAACTTCGACACAGATAAGGAGACCATGCACACACACACACGCCAATGCACATGTACACAAATACACACACACACACACACACACACACACACACAGGCATGCAGCCTTGAATTCGGCTACTGCGTGCCAGAAACTTGCGAATGACATCTCTCTATGAGGGGAATGACACCCAGTAGCCATCTTCGTCTGTCTGTTTGTATGTCTGTTTTTTTGTCTGTCTTTATGTTTGTCTGTCTGTCTGGCTCGGGGTGTGTGTGTCTGTCAGTCTGTTTGTCTGTCTGTCTGTCTGTGTGTGATGTGTGTGTCTGTCTGTCTGTCAACCATGCTCTCTATCTGTCTGTCCATATGTATGTGTGTGTGTGTCTCTCTGTGCGTCTGTCTGTGTGTCTGTCTGTCTGTCTGCCACACACACACACACACACACATACACATACACACACACACACACACACACAAACACACATTCTGGCATGTAGCAATGAAGTTGGCTACTGCGTGCCAGAATCTGAGGAATCACGACCGTTGCGACGGATAATGGCACGCAGTAGCCAACTTGGGCACAGTGAAGGAGACACACGCACAGACCATACACACACACATACATCAATGCACATGTACACTAATACACACACATAGACACACACACACACACACACACACACACATACACACACACACACACGAACACACATTCACGCATGCAGCAATTAAGATGGCTACTGCGTGCCAGAATCTGAGGAATCACCACCGTTGCGATTTGGAATGGCACGCAGTAGCCAACTTGGGCACAGAAAAGGAGACCATGCACAAACCATGCACACACACACACGCCAATGCACACACACACACACACACACACACACACATGCATGTCGATGACGTCATTGTGCGTTTCACCTGGCAGAGAGAAGAGGACAAAAGACAAACTGTACCATCATGTCGATGTCGGTAGCACAGGTGGAGAAGGCTCTTGCTGAGGTAATGAAGTATGCAGCGGAGGGCATCCACTACAACAGTGACATCGAGTTCTCTTTGCTGAAGGAGAGGGTGCCGAGGTACTTCGCAGTCAGTGTGGATATGAGATTCACAATCACGGCAAATGACGAGGGCTGTGTCAAGGCACGAATGCTCTTGCAACGCTTCAGAGAGTCACCATGTGTACGTGTGGACAACGAAGTGGAACACAATCCTTATAGTCTAAAAGGAGTGGTTCAGTGGATGTGCAACAAAGGGATGTGCGAAGATGAAGACGTGGACATGACAATGCACCAAAAAGGGGGAACGTATGCACCTGCAAATTTCAAAAAGTTGCTGGGCACTGTGGCGAAGAACTCCGACATGCTTGTTGATGGGTCCAAGGACGAGTTGAAAAGTGGTGCTGCAGAGATCTTGGTGTTGTCCAGAATGAAAGACATCACACAAACACCACCACAGGACTTTCAAGATGTTCATGTAATTGTTGCAGATGGTGTGGAATATGTTCTGCTGGATCAGCTCTGCGATTTCATGAAAAAGAGTGATGAGGACAGGAACGCCATCCACGAGGCGTTGCACGAAGTGACAGAGTTTGCACTGCAGGGTAAAGATCTGATCGAATTTGTGCCAGCGAGAGGAGAAGACGACTTCATATCCGGCAGACCGTTGTGGGGGGACTTATTGTCACGCGTTTTGGACCGGCTCAGTCTTGCAAGTTGCGATGTTGAGAGACAAAGAGAAAGAGAAGAAGGGTGGAAGTTGATCGCCAGGGAAACA